CCACAGTTGCGGGGCGTCCAGGCAAGCCAAGGGAAGCCATGGGGGTGTGGCCTAATATGCAAATATGTTTGTGCTGTTGGGTGTGGCCTATTATGATAATGAGTTCCTGCTGGGCTCTTTCTACAAAAAAAGCCCTGCCTTTATGAAACTGGAGCCGGCAGGGCTTGAACCTGGGACCTTCTGCATGCAAAGCAGATGCTCTACCACTGAGCCACGGCTCCTCCCTCATAATCATACTCCAAAACAGGGCTAAGCCACGACTCAGTGCAAGGGTCTCCAACCTCTTTGAGTCTGTGGGCACCTTTGGCATTCCGACACAGTATGGTGGGCACAGCCAGCCACCAAATGGCTGCCACAGTTTACCCTTCAGTCCCACAGCTACTGCCAGAGCGGTGTCCAACCAGAAGCCTTTGCTGTCCCCCGCCCGCACTGTGAAACACCTGGCGTGTGCCAGGGAAAGTGTGGCAGGCCATGGGCACCACGTGCATTACGCCCTTTTGTCAAGAACTCTACAAAACCTGGGCCGGCTGCAAGGAGCGGCGGAGGTGAGCATTCCCTGACTCCAGAGGGCGGAGCTCCCCCCGGGAGGGCGCGCCTGTGACTGACCTGCGATCGGGGGCCCTGCTGTCATGGGGATGGCCATGAGTCCCAGGAGGTACCCGATGGCCTGAGAGGCCTGCATGGGCCCAACCAGCTCGAAGGCGATGGGGGCCATGATGGTGATGAAGAGTCCGTCGCAAAGTCCCAGGAAGAGGCAGACGACCAGGACGCCCCAGAACTCTCGGCACTGCGGGATCATCATGCACAAGATGCCCAAGAGGATGAAGGAGGCCACCTGGGGAGGCAAAGCAGGGGTGCTGTTGAGGTGGGACGGCTGGAGAGAGAGAGCCCCCACCCAGCAGGGTCTGGAGTCCAAGCACACCGCAGATCAGACAGAGGGAGGGCCGCCCACTGCCCATCTCGGCTTTATTCTGCTGCTTCTCTCCGGAGTTCAGGAAAGCGTGCAGTGTTTCGTTTCCCCCCCTCTGGCTCTCAATCCTCACACGAACTCTGTGTTGAGGGAAAAGCCTGCGAGAAAAAGCCTCTCCTAGCAACTTCCACAGCAAATGGAGGATGTGAGCCTCGATCTCCCTGCTCCTCAGCGGACACTGTCGCCCCTGTTCACCACTCCCCAAAGGTTCTGTTCTGCAGTAAGGTCAGCACAACCGCCGCCCAGGAAGTTCCATGTGCAGAGGGCTGCCACAGGAGGTGTAGCCAGCCACAAAATGATTGCCACCGCTTAACTTCAGGAACTCCAGGTAACATGACAGAAAATCTGCACGGCCGATCAAATCTCCCAAAACCGTACCTGGCCCCGCCCACTCCCTGAAAACACTGGGCGGGCACCAAGAAAAAGGCATTAGTGGTCACCCTGGGGCCCACAGGCACACCCCCCCCCCCCCCGGCAAC